ACAACAACAACAACAACAACAACAACAACAACAACAGCAACAACAACAACAACAACAACAACAACAACAACAACAACAACAACAACAACAACAACAAGAAATAAATTGTTCGTCCTCACCAGAGGATCACACAACGGTCAATACAATAATGTCGCAGTTACTGCTCTCAATCCCAACTCAGAAATGGGAAAACCATTAGCAACAACAACAGCAACAACCCCCGAGCCAAACAAAAACAAAACAAAACAACCTCACCCACCCACACACATATACTCGTCAAGTCCAACAACTAATACATATTATATAAATAAAACATTGTAATATTTTTATATCATCAAAACAGCTCACGCACAAACGCACGCGCACACATGACGCCACACGACTGACTCACAGAGCGGCGTCGGAGAGCGGTACGGGTCAGCGATGTTGCGATAATAATATTATGCGAGGCATCGTGGTAAAATCAAGCGCTCGTCAAAATAACAAAATCTCAGGAATATGCATTTTTCGGCAAGTTTGGCAATTTCTATCGAATTTTTGTATTTTGACTCAACACCTTTAAGGCCCATTAAAAAACACATTTTTGTTTGGATTTTACTGAAGAGAGTTGATTTAAGTCACACAAAAAAAAAATATAACTTTGCAGTTTCTACGGAATCTCAAGCTTTGGAATTCGCCAAACTTTGGCGGTCATTTTCTCGCTAACTTTACCCCCGAAACCAGGCGACCCCCACCTTCTTCTATCGCAAATATCTCGACTTCTCTTCATGATAGATGGTATTTTTTCACCACCAAAAGCAAGACAAATGAACAAGCTTTAAAATGATACCAATAACTCCACATGTCCAAAAATTGACGAGCGCCTGAAATCCACAGCGCTGTGAAACATATTATAACCTGTTGCCGGGAAATGCAAATTGCTTTCCGCTCACTCGCGCGTGTAATTTTCCCGTTTTTAAAGCAAATTAATTGTTGTAGTGTAATGGTTGCATGATGACGCTGTTTACCTTGCGTGGGGCAGATAATATGATCGAGTTCGATTCCTCCATGTAATGATTCCGCGTTTGTGGAGGAGGAATTGCTCATTGCTAAGTGGCTTTAGGCTCTTCTCCTTTCGCGCGGAAGGTAGGGGTTCGATTCTTTGATGTAATAGTTGTGTATTTATGGAGTAGTAGCACATTGCTAGTGGGTTAGGCTCTTCTCCTTTCGTGCGGAAGGTATTGTTTGTTTTAGTAAGGATTTATGGTGCTCGCAGCTAAATAATATAATGTCATATGAGCGCCAAGGGGTGGATGTCAACAGAGAAGTCTAAACGGAGAATCAATCAGGCTTACTCTGCTCAGCGCTCATATGAGTCATGACCTTATGCAGTTGCGAGCGCCGTAAAACCCCATACTAAACTAAACTACTTACTCTGCTCACCTCTCTAGCCCCAACAGCACAAAGTCTGCTTCGACTATCAAGGCACCCCGGAAATAGCAGTTCACAAGAGATTGATAATCATACAAAATAAGTAGTGGAAAATGACGATAGTAAGTAAGGATTAGGAAAGAAAAACCAGCAGTTCGCCGTTTTCAGTTCAGGCACAGTTATGAGCATGACATTGATGAATCAGCCCATTTACAATTCTACTGAGCATAAGAACATGTTAATATCTCCCCTTTGGGAATGGCCTAAAGACGCCTAAGTCAATAGTACCGCCCCGGGGGGGGGGGGGGTGCAGAAGGTATGAGTTCGATTCCTAGATGCAGTGATTCCGCTTTGTGGAGGAGCAATTGCTCAATGTTAAGTGGCTAGACTCTTCTCCTTTCGCGTGAGAGACATCGAGTTCGGTTTCTAGACGTAATGATTCCACGTTTGTAGAGTAATAGTTAAGTGGATAGGCCTTTCTCCGTGCTCGCAAAAGATATGAATTCGATTCTATTTGCAATTTTCTTGCGTTTGTTGTGTAATGGCCAGGTGGTTAGATCCTTACCTTTTTGTCCGCAAAAGACATCAGTTCGATTCCTAGTTGGAATAGAATAATTCGGCATACTTGGAGAAACGGTTACGTGGTTAGGTCTTTTGCCTTACACAAAAAAGGTTTTAGTTCCATCTCTAACTAAAAGTAAAAATCCTATGATTTTGGCACAATGGTTTAGGTGGTTAGGCCCTTTATATGTTATGTAAAAGACAAAAGTTCTATTCTCAGGTGGGGTTGGATATTTCTAGAAAAACATCGCTGTATGTAGGCTATCAAAATGACAAACATGCCACCCCTACCTCTATAACTATGGTACGATGACTCTACGAATATTATCATGTACAATTTACAAAATCAATTTGAGCTCCTTTCGTTGCGACCAGGTTATCTAAACAACTGTTTCCTGCCGACACTAGTTGAACTTGCTGAAGTGGCTGTCAAAGGCTGGGGTGACTCACTCCCGGATATTATGTATGATATTATGTATCTATCGACACCTCGTTAATGACAACGGCTGACAGTATAGCGGGAAGAGGGAGGGGGTGAGGGTGAGAGTGAGGGAGTGATGGGGGTGGAGGGAGTGAGGGAGGGATAGAGGGTGAGG